AACCTTTACCACTACTAACTAAACTTTACTCATCAACACTGGTAATGAATATTTAAAACCTCCACCACTACTAACTAAACTTTTCTCATCAACACTGGTAATGAATATTTAAAACCTCCACCACTACTAACTAAACTTTTCTCATCAACACTGGTAATGAATATTTAAAACCTCCACCACTACTAACTAAACTTTTCTCATCAACACTGGTAATGAATATTTAAAACCTCCCAAGGTTTTAAATATTCATTACCAGTGTTGATGAGTAAAGTTTAGTTAGTAGTGGTGGAGGTTTTAAATATTCATTACCAGTGTTGATGAGTAAAGTTTAGTTAGTAGTGGTCATCACTACTAGTACAACCTTATTTACTAACATAAGTTAACAATGATCGTTCAAAACCTTCAACAATACTAGCTCAATATTTCCAGCTAAACTTTTCTCACCCTAAATGATTGTTTTCAGTACTTAATTATTAAAGTCTTCAATGCTATTGGCTTAACTTAAGCACCCTGTTTCTCACCAGAATACTCTCACTTCTACTGGCTAAATTTACACAGCCTAAAGGTTTAGTGCAGATATTGGTATCAGTACCACTCACCATAAGCTGTTCTCCTAAGTGTGGGGTCATAGTACTTCCTTCTGGTTGAGGTGAGTTGGGGTCGAGTTGATTAGCTGCAACTGAACAGTGTCATTATTTTTTAACTCTTACTTAACACTAAACATCATTCATTACATCTATAAAAATCTATTTTTAAATTTAATTCAACACACAAATATACATTAAAGCATATGAAAACATTAGTATCTTAACTGACAAAATATTTTGGTATTATAGTGTATGAAAATAAAACTTTAACAACAGCTTAATGTAGTCTCAATAGTATAAAATATTAAAGACACACCTTTTGCTTATACATTCTCAGAAAAAGATTCACCAGATCACTCCTGAACATATTGGATCACAACAGAGTACCATCACTATATATTTGTAGCTGGTAATCTTCAGTCAGATCATGCTTAGCTTTAAGATCCAATTGGATGCACATACTTACATAAGTATTAATACTTGAATTCATTATACAAACACTACTTATCCAATTTACAAAACTAGTTAATTAGTTAAATTAATAAGAACCTTTTGCAATGACATCTTGAGAGAACAACATTCTCCAGTTACTAAATCTTCAGTTTCATTACATGAAATTTTTTCTAATATCTTGAGACCTTATGTTAAAAAGTATGAAACAACATATTGATACTACTGGCCAAAGATCACTTAACCTTCTCTTCCTCAACAATAACAAAGCATGAAGACATTTTAATATGGGTGGTTTTTGACAACAGTAATTTAATTTTCTTAAGAACAATATTAACTTTTTATTTCAATAATATAAAAGCTCTAAAGAATATGCATAGTAAATATAATCATGTACATTAAAACAATGTACACCAAATCAATAAAACAAAAAACTATAACATTCCACTATTTATAATTCCCAAAATGCACATCAAGGAAAGAATATATACAAATAGAACCCTTTAAAAAATACATTTCTTCCTAATTATACATAACTGGTACTTCATTCCTCTTTTTTCACTAACTTAACTACTTTGTATTACTCTGTTTCACAAGTTAATTTCTTTTGTTTGTTTCATATCTTCACTTTTTTTACATTATATTTTTCAAGTTTATTATACTGTTTTTTGTTTGTTTCACATGTCCACTTTCAGTTTCATAACTTTATTTACTAACTTCTCTACATCTGTAACACAAATTTACTCACTTTCTAAATCTGTTTCATCATCCACATAAAACTCTGGTAAGGGTCTTCTTTTAGGCCGCTAAAATGAGAATTATGAACAATAATGTAAAATCTGTGTTTTCAAGAAATTTCCCACTTTTTGATATCAATTTCACACACCACTTTTCCAAAGCTTTTACTATTTGAAAGCATACAAAATTGAAGATATCAATACACTTTGTAAAGAGGAAAAGGATGTAAAGGTTTTTAAGAAATCTGCAAAATTCACTTTTTTTCTTTATTGTAAAGTTAGTATTTCTCTATAAAGGAACATACATACCTAACCAGTGGAACTTCAACCTCTTACACACTAAGAGAGCAATTAAAGAAAATTGATATCACTAGAAATGCTATTCTAGTATATACAAAGAAAACATACCTTTAATGTATTGAGCAGCTGTTGAATTTTGGATGAAACTTTCCATTTACCAGTTCCTAAGGGGAAACACAAATTCTATTGTATTATCCTCTATAACAGTGAAAATTATTATAGCAAAATAATTTTATTTTAAAACAAATCAACCATTTAACTGTGGACTTTTACACCACTGATGGCATCCTGGGTGGGGTCTTTCCCCGAATGTTTTGTTAAGTAATAATTTTTTGTGTAACTTTGGTGCAAAGAATTGTCAATATTTTTTTATTTAGGACTCACTGACACATGACAAGATATTTTATTTTTCATTACAGTATTGAAATTTGTAACAAAAGAGCAACAGATAATAATCAGAAATTGCCTTTTTTGTGGCATCTTGAAGCAAGTTGCCAGAGAAAGCCTGACACTAAATTATGGGCACAATAATTTGATACCTTGCATTACCCAGCCTTATCACACACTACACACCTTTCAGGGAGTAATTTTTTTTACATGAGTGGATTTATATGAGGTACATTTCCATCAGTAAGCTCAATTATTTGTAATGACTTAAAAGACCTGCCCTGGGTTAAAGCTGGATCACTGATGAACTCCTCAATCAACTTCTCAGCCAGGGTGATAAAAATTCCATCCTTTTTAGCTTACCACTGTTTTCATTTTTTAAAACAAAGGCATTCAGGCCTTTATGATAATATTTTCTGCTCCTATCACAAGATAGATTGCATAGGTTCAACTGCCACTTCTATTCACACCACCCTTGTTCTTGTTATAGAAAAGAACTACTTCCATGTAACAGTATGTTTTGTTTTTAAATTGCACATCTTAGCATAACAAACAGTACTAACAACTATAACATCTCTATTACCATTCCATTTGGCTGTAAAAACAGCCACTGATTTTCTCTTCTTGAATTTAGCTTTCTTTACATTCTCAAGTATCTTTTGCTGATCAACCTGATAGTTCCTACCATATCAGTGCTGTGAGAATACAACGTATCTATCAGGTCAAAAATTTTGCCCAGGAGCTTGTGTACCAGTTATCTAGATATAGCGTATAGCCCTGGTACAGGAGCTTGTGTACCAGTTATCTAGATATAGCGTATAGCCCTGGTACAGGAGCTTGTGTACCAGTTATCTAGATATAGCGTATAGCCCTGGTACAGGAGCTTGTGTACCAGTTATCTAGATATAGTATATATAGCCCTGGTACAGGAGCTTGTGTACCAGTTATCTAGATATAGTATATATATCCCTGGTACAGGAGCTTATGTGCCAGTTATATAGATATAGTATATAGCCCTGGTACAGGAGATTCAGTGCCAATCATCTAGGTATAGTGTATATCCGTGGTACAGGAGCTAGAGTACTAGTTATTAGTTATCTAGGTACAAAAGAAAAAGTGGCAATATTTTCAAGTTTTAAAAAGTACATGGTGTGTGCAGGGTTGTAAAGTACACCTTAAAGTATCAGTATGGCAAGTAGCATTTTTATCTTTTATGACGAGGAATCCACTTTGAGACAATAAAGTCTGTATATGGCTTGAATAGGTAATGAAGAAAAGTGTATTACAAGTTTTACTTAGCAACAAATGTACAATGTCTCAACAAGGTTTTGTTATCATCATGTACAAGTATTTTACACAGAAACATCAATATATATATATATATATATATATATATATATGTGTGTGTGTGTGT